AACACGCCAATTGGTTTTCACAGCTATCACGACATCCACTAATGGAAAGGAAATTCGCCATAGCGTTATAGTCGCTTAGCGACCTGTGAAGACAAAATGAATGCTGGTAAGGAATCAAGTCTGAAGAACATACCACCGTGTCGCTTTGCAGTAACCACACGAATGTGGGGGACGAAGAGGGTCAGACACCTTCTGTTACCTGTGATCACTTCCTTGAGGAATGATGAGGGAAGTTGTTAGGTAACTCACGGGAGCAGAAATGTGCTAATCACCAAATGGGGTGACTAGGCCATTGCTGTATTATAGCCTAAATGAATTGGATAACCGAATTGAATGTTGCGGATCCCTCTAAGCACTTGTTTATTATGCATTAGTCGTGATTAATTTTAGCAGAAGTTTCTGTTACGGCATATAGGCTGCCTTTCCCATGGTTCTAGAACTACCCTTCCACCTAATTAGCTCACGACATAGTAGTAGACGAGGCCCCTACTGGAGTTGAAGAAGCAAAAAGCAAACACCTGCATAGTTTCCAAATTCCTCCTAGTATATGCATTCATCCCATTGCTCGATGTAAAGTGTCTCTAAAAGGACAGCACAGCCGAAGCTCAGTAAAGCTTGACTCCAAATGCAAACCCGCAAAATATTGGTAGGCGGGGACTAGGGCTGAAGGAATGTTGCATACTATCATCAGCATACTCTAAAGTTTATGCTATTGACAACTGCTTATTCGCCGCATAAATATTTTAGGCTTATTTGGCAACAAATTTTAAAATCTTTGTGAATTCGGAAGGGTAGAATGCTTAGGCATCTTTTGAGATTGGCAATGATAGGTGCTGATAAAAGTACTTCGCACACAAGTCGCCTTAGACCAAGGCATATTACTGCCAGATCTGTATCTTTTAGACGACGTGCCAAATTTATATTCTCGGTTTGTTTAAGTGGGCAGGTTTGTGTTTATATATCACCCAAGTGTATGTTGGTCATTTGCTTTCTGAGTTGTACCGTGGGTTATGCTAAGTGTTTAGGGGTTTTAGGTAAAATCCAACTCCAGACATGATGGAGATATAAAGAAACTTAGAGAATCGTGTAGACTGAATGCGCTTGGAGGGAACAAAGTTGTCAAAGGCGGTATAGGGCAGAATCATACAAGACGATTATTATTTTGGTAATGTTCATTCGTTCATGCGTGTGATAATATGTTTATAGTAGTTAATTATGGTATATACCTAAGCATATACGCGTAAAAATACGTTTGTACTTGAGAAGTAGAGCATGCACCTGTGGTTTTCTGCGGAGGTGCACTTTTGTTCTAGTGAGATGTGGTATATACCCATTATGGACTGTGT